TCTGGAAGGAAATTTTGAGCTTGACTCTCAGTCCACCAGTCAGCTGCTCCCAGCACGCATGGCGTTGCCTACAAGGAGAGGGAACGGTTGGTCTCGACTCACCTGCCGCCATCAGCCAGGCATAAAAAACCCTCACGCAGAGGTCTCCTAAGACTTGCATCAGAGACAGACGGTTGGTGGCTCACGTCCTTTCCACCAGGGTTCGAGTTTTGGCTGGCTGGCTGGCTGGCTGGTAACGGCAAATGAATCAGCGGTGTATTCGTTCTGCATTATGCACTGTCTTATCCGATAGTGCGTCTTGAAGACACCATGTGTCTCTTACTGCGAGGCCTCTTGCTTAATGTTGTTACAAGACAAACCTGCTTCCTCACACTAAACGTGATTTTTTCTGTCATATTTTAGTGCCAGTGGTGAAACCTACCATAGGACGATGCCAGTCCCTCCTGATCCCAACTTATCCTCAGGCAACGCCGGAGGCATTTGCGTTGCCTCGACAACCTCGTCTCGGCGTCTCCGCAGTCATGCACAGTCATCAGATGGCTGTCTCCGCAGAGCTTCCCCGCCCCACGCTACCCACGCCTCTCATTCTGGGTGGCGAGACCACAGTACCCACGTGCCGTTTTCGCCCCGGCCTACGACCCATCCGCATAATTGACATGAATCAGTTCCGGTTTCGTCGGAAGCCGAATTCGGATCATCAGACACCCTCCTCTTCACCGAAGTTTTTCAGAAAATCCGTGATTTGCTCAGCTACTTTACCAAAGCAGACGGCAGCCACCGCCTCCTCCAGACGTCAACCCCTGAAGGCTTTTCCTCAGGATACAGTCAGCGCTCAGATGAGGTAGGATATTCCATCTATAAATGTTTGATTGCCTGCACATATGCGTCTGAGTCTAGAAGAGGGAAAAATTGGCCGCAATTTGTAACTCCAAGACAAATTGCAAGCTGAGCGTATTCTTTTATGAAAACACATGAGTGAGCCACCACTTTTGTGTGAGTGCTATAGAATATTCTGGAGCGAACTCGGTGGAACACGGACCCTTGGTTCAAACGATAGCATGTTTCATTCAGACCTAATGATAAAATGATCCTAGATCACGGATCGCAGATCACTTTCAATTCATACCTATGTTAGAAGTACCGTGAAATCCCTGGCATACCTGTATATGATCTCAGGAAGGGGCATTCCGCGCTCTAGTTTCGGCACCGAACATGCCTTCCCTCCGTGCCGTGGAAGCCCATCTAAAAACCTTGCATCATTACCAGCCATTACACGACTGCCTACGAGCCTGGTTCCAGCGCCGTCTTGTCGATGTCTCTTTAAAAATGCTTACCAAAGAGTGACAAACTGACATCTTTGCTACGAGACAATTATCCACAGTGGGCATCCCATTCGGTGTCCCATGCTGAAATATACGAGGCTTTTCGGCCTTCGGGCCAGCAACTACACGCACAAAAAACTCACCCAGCAATCACCGCATCTAGCTACAAGCCGCCGAAGTGGCTTCACGCCCTCCCATGTGCGCTGAAAGACCTTAAACCGTTAATCGGTGGTCCTTTTATGTGGTTGCCATGGCCGCAGTCTGCCATTCACACCTACTGTCTTAAGGGGGGGGAGGAGGGGTGAAAGCTCGCTCTCAACCAAGCTTTCCTTTTGGTGGAGAACTCTAGTTGGTCTCTACTATTAACTGGGGACTGGATCCAACATCTTGGTGCTGCCGTGTGCCATCAAAGTGTTGTGGCGTTCCCGGATTAAGCCAGTTCATAAAGCGACGCATTTTTAAACAGGGTATTTACACATAAGCCATATTCATCCTGGTTCTCATTCAGCTCAATAACAAAAGTGTAAGCCATTCCCCAATTTCTCAAAAGGATAATCTTGATGCATTGATTCAGTCACCACAGGATGTAGAACACTGAAGAAAAAGCAACTGTTAGTCTTGGGTCTTGAGTTTGATCCTATAACATACATTTTTGAATCCACCGGCCCAATCAAGCGTGTCACACAAGCCGCTCTGGAGAATCACAAGCCCAAATAAGCAGCTTCTTTCCTTTTTATCCGAACAAATTTCCAGATGTTATCCCTTCTCGCTAAATGATTCTGCAATTATGGTCTATATGGCTTCATCGAAACAGGCATACTCCCTCCCCCCGCAACCAGTCTGAGATCACTGAAAGCCTTCCGGGCTGCAAATGCTAAGACTGTTTAGTAACCGGAGTTTTGGAATGCGGCATGCCGTGGAATAGCACTCTCAGATCTGGTTCTCAGGCCATCGTGGTCTAAATAGTGTATGGTTAACTGGTAGCGCCAGAGAAACCAGAGCTGTGGATCTTTGGTTTCCCAGTTTTATTGATTAACCTTCCGAAAATATATAATTGGGTTGATTCAGATCAGTGCAACTCGGAGTATAACTGGAATCCATGATGCTTTAAAAAACTTTAAATTTACATTAGAGAATATGGAAGACTATCAGCGTTTAGTAGATCCGTTATGTGGCTCTTTACAGGTTGCCGTTGACGTAAGAACTCTTGGAGCATGGATGTGCTAACGCAGGCTTGCT